GAGGTCTGTCTTATCAGGTAAATTACTGTACACAGTGTATTCATTAATTTTCATTTTCATGTAGTAAAGGCTCTATGCCTTCATAAAGGACGTACTTTTCGTTTGTTTAAGGGTATTTGGGCAGTTTATTTTCTGTTATATTCTCAAGTAAACAATACGTACAAGTACAGTACAGTATTTTCTGAGGAAACACTCGTACTTATTTTTTTTAACCCCATTCTCGATAACCCGGCATTTTCACAAACTCGGCCACCCTTCGGTCCACATTAGGCCGAGTGTTCGAGGTTCTACTGTACTAACTTTCGGTATAGACTGGAAGTTTGTAAATAGTTAATCGGGGCCTTCTAATCTTTTTCTATCTGGTCTTGGTTTTCATCTATTTAACACCATTCTGGAGATAAATGAAGAAAAGACAGACAGACAGACGATCGTAGAAAATTATAAATCTACAATTTTTTCAAATTGCAGCTCAATTAATACGTCGATAGAATGATTAAAATTTTAGATACGTTGATACGTTTAAAAATGATATAATTAAACTTTTTTATTTATATAATTCATGCATAAATAATTAAAACAAAGAATAATTTTTCATTTATTTCTTAAATTTTTTTAATTCTTAAATTAAAATTAAATTTATTTTATAATAAAGATAGTTGAAATAATATACGCGTATAATTAAAAAAAACAATTGATACAATTTAATTATGTCGACAATCTCAGATTTATTATCGCAATAAATCGAATATTGATTAAATTAGAAAATAAATTTTATTAATTCTACAACAAAACTATTTGCTATGCATTTAATTAAACATAATTTATCAAATGGATGTGTTTTAAATCATTAATGTTAATTATTTTAGCGAGTAAAACAGGAAGCAAAAGTAAGAATAATTAATTAATTTAATATAACAATATAGTTAAGTGTAATTTTAATGTAGTTATATAAAACGACATAAATCAAGTCGCAATTTCTGACACGAAAGATTTTTAATTTATTTAATTTAAAATATATGTTCTCGATCTCAAATTTGCAATGTCTTGCTCCTGTACATCATACTTTCCCTGATAACAATAGAGATATGTTAGTCATCTATGTAATTTCGTTCTAGGGAAAAGTTTGAACTGAAATCACGTGACTTTTGATTTAGTCNGATGTGTTTTAAATCATTAATGTTAATTATTTTAGCGAGTAAAACAGGAAGCAAAAGTAAGAATAATTAATTAATTTAATATAACAATATAGTTAAGTGTAATTTTAATGTAGTTATATAAAACGACATAAATCAAGTCGCAATTTCTGACACGAAAGATATTTTTTTTCGTTTTTTTTTGATATAAAAGATAAGATTTTTCTTTTTCTCCCCGAGGTATTCTAGATGTAAGATAGTACTTCGATAGATAAGACAGTTTTGACACAATTCATGTGAATCTAAGCTATGTTCTTACCATACATCCGTATTGATCCTTCCGTAGATCCGAGTGAATTCTCAGCGAAACATTTGTAAGTACCGAAATCTTCTTCTTCTAATGTCTTCACCGTCAATTTCATGTGTATCTTGTAAGTTTTATCTTTAATTGCTGTTTCGAATTTTTCGTTAGGTATAATCATATCTCCTCCATCTTTGGCCCAATAATTGATGGACACAGGATAAGCTTCCGTGTGACAGTCTAAGGTAACATCTTTTCCCATTGCTGCACCAACCAGCTGGTTTGGTATCCACATAACTGGAGGAACTAAAAGAGAAAGATGTAGTTCTATTTATAGAGGAAAGGAATTTGATTGAGAGTCGACGTAATGGGATCTGCTTGATGCCAGTATTATTTTAAAGTTCTCCTAAAAGAGAGAGATTTTTAACTTTTACTTGTAGAAAACTACTACTAGACTTTTTACTTTGGTTTAATTTAAGATATAAAACAAGATCTGAAAAATGGAATGTTGATGATTACAGTAAACGAAACCTTGGAAGAATTTTTATGCTTTTTTCCCCTTTTTTTCTTTAAAAATTAATTACATTTTCACTAAAGAATATTTTGCCAGCTTTAATTGAACGTAATTAAGAATAGTAAGATTATTACAGATAAAGAAAAGTACAGGTAATTAGTAAGAGATGATGAAAATAAAGTCGGTATCACTTACAATGAACGTGTAATATTATTCTCCTGCTAACAGAAGGGGGTACTCCATTAGATGCGATGCAAAGATAAGCTCCCATATGTAGTCTACTAACTCGAGTTATGTTCAGCTGCTCTCCTTCGTAAGTAGTAGCTACAAAAAAAGAACAGACTTAAATTTAAAAAAAAAAATATATATATATATATTTAATTATTAAAGTTTCTAAATTAATAAGCGAAATTAGCTATATATTTTACCTGAAAAAATCGAATTTACAATGTTGATATTCTTTTCTAAAATAAGCACTAGTACATATAAAATTAATTGTATTTTTCTTCATTAAAGTCAGTGTTGTTAGTTATAGGCAAACAAGTGAGAGCGTATAAGTATTTTTTTTAAGTTTAAAAATATGTACTGCTTTCACCTATCTTACTCTGTTAAAATATATCTATTTTAAATGTAACGGCCTTTAGTATTTTCTATGCTTTAGCTGATTTCGATTCCCAATCTTATTTTCCTCTTCACGCGATTTTTCCTCTGATCCCATGACATTTCTCTCCTTCAACAAAATATTGTCAAAAGCCGAAAGACAATAGGATTTAGAATATGTCTTAGATATTTTTTCCTTTATTTACGTGTTTCTTCTTCTTTCTTTTCCCTTTTTTTCCCTCTTCCTAAGAGCTTACAGATTGATAAAAATTTGACTTATTGTCAGAATTTTAAACCTTCTACTTTATTTTAGTGAAGTATAATACGCATATATATATATATTTTATTCTATTTTTTTCTTACATCTCTCGGAGTAGATACAATTACTTTATGTAAAAATTTAATTCCACNAGATTTGTTGGATTTTTCTACGGAGAGCAGCTGCTGTAGGAGCTATCAACACAATGTCATCGGCATACGATATAGTATGTATTATCTGATTTTCAATTTGAAACCCATCTTCATCTCTTTTAAAGCATTCATTTAGATCAAATAGGTAAAAATTGAAAAGTATAGATTTAAAGTAGATAAATATTGTAACTGTCGTATAGTTAATTAATTAATTTTATGCTTTTAAAATTAAACAACTACAGATAATGACAAAATATTCCAATTTATTCTTTGTATTAACATAATTGTTAAACAATCTGTTTATCCTTTTAATCAAAGCAAACTAAAGAAAAGATTCTTCCTAAGTGGAATTTTGTGTAAATAAATAATAATTTAAATAAGTAATAAAACCAGGAAGACGTTTACTAAAAAAAAATATTTATAACTAGAATTTAGCATCTTCAAATTCAATACACATGTAAAGTTGTTTTAAAGGTCGACTCCATGTGTGATTTCTATTCCTTCACAGTGAATAAAACGAATCTGAAGGCTTTAAATTTTGTGTTTTCTTCTGTTTGTAAGTGTTATAAAGTTTAAGTGCTTCAAAAATTATTCTTGTTATTACCTAACTTCACCAAAAACTTTTATAATATCGAGTTTACTTCATCTAGGATTTATACATAAACCCGTTTCCGTGATTCATTAATTATACATAATTTAGGAGCTCTGTTTTTAAGTTTATTAATGTTTGTTAGAGATTGAAGAGCCTTTTATACGTTATAAACTCATGACCACAATAAATTTGAGGTCCTGAAATATCTTTAATATTTTCTGTTAAATATAAAAAATTTCTTTGAGATGAGAATGGTATCAATACAATATTCATCAAATAACTTGAATAATTAATTTTTTTTCCACAAAAATTTATATTTCTAGAACATTAAATATCAATCATAAATATTAATTTTATTATTATTAATTTTAATTTTTAATTATGTAAATTTATTAATTATTTACAAACTCTTGAAAATTCAAGAATCTACTAATCTTAAAATACTTAAATCAATGTATTGAATTTTACAGAGTTGGAAATTTATTATCTTCTCATTTAATCTGTTAATTAAGGATCATTCCAATATTTTCGATATTGGATTAATCCTAACACATCCTAATTGAGATATATTATTTTTAGTTATATGATTTATTTGGGAGATTTTTTACTAATATTTAATTTTATTTATTAATTTTCTAAATTATTATATAACCGATAGAAGTTTTAAGATTCAATTTCTACAGTTCTTTCTTATAAAGAGTCTTTGACAAGAAGCAGATACATATCTACATATAAATGTAATATTCATATCAAACTATCAAGTTTGATGTAAATATTACATTAGAAACTATTTTTTCTCGTTAAAATATTTAATAATCTTAAAAACTTTTTAAACTTTTCGTTTTATAAGAAAATTTATTCGCAAATTCCAGTGTCCTCTAAGAATCTTTACATTCCTGCACCTGATTAAATTGTAAAACAATGGTTATTATCGCTGCATATTATATAATATTCAAGATTTAAAAAGATTCTATAAATATTTTCTTTATATAGAAACCATTTATTTAATAATAATCAATTTTTTAATATTAGAAATATTAAAAAAACTTATAATCATTAGATTTTTATTGCTCAGTTACTTATATGAAAACATCAATCTTATACACAACTCGCTCTTGATCAAACACTTCAAATGATAACTCTTTATTATACAATCCGCCTTTATAATAATCTATATCCTCTGCAAGTTTGGATTTTTCTATTGAATACTTCTTAGGTAAGCAAAAATTCTTTTCAAGCAACTAAAACTGAACTGATTTCTTCTTATTTTCAATGGGAATTACTTAGATATCTTTAAAAGTACTCTTGTCATTTTTGTGAAGAATATACTACCAATAAAATTGGACATTTCCTAAATATCTGTCCAATGTTTCTTCTCTTGCTGAATGAACAATTCTCCAATGAATTTAAAATTGATTACATCTTCAATGATAAGATTAGTAGGGCTACACCATTCAAACTCTCTATTTATTCAAAAGGGCAGTAATATTTATATTTATATGTAATTATATAAATTTACTTTAAATAAGCTTAATTTCTTCTCACTATTTATCAAAATTATTAATTTTATTATCAAAAAGTTATTACTGTTACTAGCTTAATTATAATAGGATAATATCCTCTTTAATGAATATTTAATTAATATATATATAAATAAATTATATATGTAAATTTTAACTTAAATTTAAAATATTTTTCTTATTTTTCTTTCAATTTTTACAAACCTGTAGGTATAGAAAGTGAATTTTTGACTTCAGTACTTTCACTTTCTGAATCTTTCACAGATCCAAAACTTTGATGTCTAGGAAATGCTGTCAAATCTGTGACAATAAAAAAAACGATAAAATGCCAAGACTATATATAAATAATAAAAAGATTTTTTATAATATATATACTTTAAAAAGTGAAAAAAAATAGTAATAAAATTTGTTAAAAATTTTTTAATCGATATATGGCAAAGAAAAATGTAAAAGTTAAATGAAATATGTCATTATGGAATTTATTATAAATGACATTTAGTCCTTTAAATTAGTTTTAAAGCAAAAATGTCGAATATTTAAATTCTATACCGAATATTTTGTAGATTATATATATATACATCTTCAAAACATCTAACCTACTCTGACAACAAAGAAATTCCTGGCATTCTGACGAAATTACATAACGAAACCATTTTACATGTAATAATCAAGATGAAAATTTTGTAAAACATGTAAAATTTTAATTCCAATATATTCAATTTACTTAATCAGATAAGGTTTAAAATATATATATATATATATATATACAGAACGTATATAGAAAGAGAAAGATAATGAAAGCTAACATTGCACAGAAAGCATTAGATTTTTTTTACACTTTATCATTTTCTTTTGCTTATTTTTCAGCTTCTGCTTCATGTCATGTATCTTTTCTGTTATTTTTTTATTGTTTGGATAATATTACTTTTCATTTTTTTTATTACAGAAAAAAATTTAACGATTATTTTACTGAATTCAAATCTTAAAAGTAAACATAAAAATTATGTTCATTCTCACTTTAAATAAAGATAAATAATCTTGTAGGAGTAGTTGTATCTATTCATTATTTGGAAAGTAATACTGATTAATAACATTTTCAGTAGGTTAGCGAGATTGAATAACTAAGATTTGGAAATATTCTGACAACATGATCCTATTCTTGAGGACCCCATTAACTTTAAGAAAGAGATAATCGTTCAATACTTTCTTTCTTGATAGATAACTTACTTTTCGTAGCGTTAAATAGTTTTCAGGTCTTTCTAAAAGAAGATAAAGAATTAAAAAAAAATTATTTTACTTCGATTTGTATTTTTTTTATTTTATTTTTTTTTCCCTTCACTCTTCTTCTTCTTCTTCTTCTCATTTTGATTCTGTCTTCCATTTGTTAATGAGACAAATGGTATTAAATAAATGATAAGGAATAAAAATACCAAAGCCGAATAGATTTTTAAAATTACTTTAATTGATAACATTCTATTTAATTCATTATTTGACTTCGTTAATTTTTGTTTTTCTTTCTTAATTTTTCTTGCATTATGCGTTTAGAAGTTTATCCGGATCATAGCTTATCTGATGATGGAATTTATCATTTTCTAACTATGTTAATGATTATTATTATAATTATATACGTTATTAATATGAAAAAAAAGTGAAAGTAGGTCATAAAAATATATTTAAAACCTTAACGATGCTATTAATTTATCGTGATAAGTCTGGAAACGTTCCTTTGACAGTCGTCATAAACCATTGATCAATCCATACTTATAGTTATAAGTGTTTGATGACGTTATAATGATTATAGATGATATAAATGATTGTTTGCGTGACAGTATGACTTCTTTTTTCACGGATGAAAATCACCACGATTCTTAACATTTATTCTATCCCTCCGGATCCATCAAAGACAACAAACTGACTATTGAATGATATCAAAGAATAAGTTTTGACAAAAGGCTACATATAATTGATGACACGAATAGTAGAAAAGAGGTAAAGCGTGTTATTTAAAGAAGATCAAGCATCAATATAACGGAAATTATTCCCCAATTGCAATTGTGATTAATCACATAGATCATATCTTTAACACGATTTGATAGTATTAAGTTACTTGCCTTCTGGAGTGACTCGTATATTTGGTATGGTTTGTTTCGTTGGTTCTTCCGTTGGTGGTGGTATTTCTATAAAGAAAAAGTAAATAAATA